TAACTAGGAGATTTCGACTACGATGGGAACTGATGATGTACTGGTGGTACGATTTGAGGCTGCAAGTTGGTTGGCGTTACGCTCGTAGTAAAGTCGTAGGTATTTAATAGGAAGGTGCTAGTAAATGACGAATGTTGCCTTGTTTCATTGATGTGACACTCCTGCGCCTATTAGTCTACTCGCTGATATAGTGATGTATAGTATTATATTATTATGATGGATAGTAGGAAGCAATACCCGCCGGAGCAATCAGCCCCTGGCAATTATGCCCGCCGCGGCACATATTACTCCCCGCGGAGCAATCACCGCCACCGGACAATTAGCCGAGCGCCCCATGACAATTACGCCCGGCGCCGGCAGTTTACCCCCGGGAGGCATTTACCGCACTGGACAATCACCGCGCGCTCGGACAATCACCCCATGGAACAATCAGGCCGGCCGGACATTTTACCCCGGACAGTTAACCGCGCGCCCGGACACTTTACCCCCTGGACATTTAGAGGAGGAGGTAGAGGACGACGGAGAAGGTAGTGGAGGAGGAGGAGTATAAGAGGTAGAGAAGGTGCAGGTGGTGGTTGAGCGAGGAGAAAGAGGAGGAGGGGAGAATGTGATGGAGGAGGAGGAGGGGAGGAGGTAGAGGCGCCCTCCTCTACCTCCTCCCTGCTCCACCTGCTCTCCTGCTCCACCTCCTCTCCTCCTCCACTCCTCCTCTCCTCCTCCTCCAGCTCCTCTCCTCCTCCTCCTCTTCCTCCTCCTTCACCTCATCTCCTCCTCTCATCCTCTCATCCTCCTCCTCCACCTTCTCTCCTCCTCCTCCTCCGCCACCTTCTCCCCACGTTCTCCCCCTCCTGCTCCTCTTCCTCCACCTCCTCTCCTACTCCTACTCCTCCACCTTTCCTCTCCTCCTCCTCCTCTTCTTCAACCTCCTCTCCTCCTCTCCTCCTCTCCTCCTCTCCTCCACCTTGCAATGAAGAGAATGTAAGATTAATAAGTACATATGCAAATAACTAGTAATAGTCATTTATAGATAAAATAAGAAATAGTTGGAGACACGAAGTCTTTGTCTAAAACGGCGTTCGTGGGCACTGCGACACGCCTATGACGTGGTAGCCAATGAAAGAGACAGAGACGCTTTATTGGTCAAGGCTTTGTCTACCGCTGACCACGGATACGGGACGGGCCAGCCAATGAGAAGGGCCGAGGTGCCCCGCGTGACCAGAACGTAAGACAATGGAGGGGACGCGCGTATTTAAAAGGGAGACGTCTTTGTGCGCGAACTTCTCAGTCTCTGCCTCTCGTTTCTGATAGAACAAGACGTATAGTATCTTGCGTGTGTGAGCATCTTATCCGATAGAATCGTAAGTTATGTTTCGTGCCGCGTTTACCTATGTACACGTAATCTGCCTTGTTCATGGGCGTATACGTTAGTTTAAGATATTGTTATTAAAGATGTGATTGTACTCTAAATACGTAACTTACTTTTGAATCATTAATATACGCATATGATAGACGTTTAGTAACAAGCATATACACGTACCACTATACGATTACGATAGTACAAACAATGATATATAACTCATTACAAACTCCTCTCCTCCTCCTCCTCCTTCTCCTCCACCTCCTCTCTTCTTCTCTTCCTCCTCCTCCACCTTCTCCACTCCTCCTCCTCCACCACCTTCTCCCCCTCCTCCTCCTCTACCACCTTCTACCCACGTTCTCCCCCTCCTCCTCCTCCACCTTCTCCACTCCTCCTCCTCCACCACCTTCTCCCCCTCCTCCTCCTCTACCACCTTCTACCCACGTTCTCCCCCTCCTCCTCCTCCACCTTCTCTCCT